CGGGGCACTTTGCCGTTCGGGAAACCCCCACGAGCTGGCTGGAGATGCTGGTCTAAAACCACGCTCACCCGACTTGGGTGTTTGTATCGTCAGTTTTTTGGCAGCCCTGGATAAGAGCAGGCTTTGCTCTGTTTTTAATACAGGTGTTTCCTGAAATGTGGGCCTGGTGCCAGGTAAAGAGGGAGAATAGGCATTCGAGCAGCCAGGAGGTGGGGGGAAGCATGAGAGCCTGCGGCAGGATGAACCCTCCCCGAGTGTTCCTGAAGGCTAAGTAGAAAGCGCCTGAGTTTTAATCACCTCATTAAAAGAGAAACTTTTATTAGTCGCAAATGGCCTATTAAAAGGCTCCAGAGTGAGTTACCCTGCACCGAGCCACATTTCTGGCTGCCAAGTCTGCTTAGCGTGAGCGTCTGCCCCAGGGAGCAGCTGAGCAGCGCGCGGCAGGGCCGGCGGCAGCGGCCGTGCTCGGCCCCGGCTCGGTGCTCTGCACGCATGGCGAGCCCTGCTCGGCGCACAGCCCGGCTGCCCCGGGTCCATGCACCCGGGCATCSAGTCCGTGCACCYGGGCATCGAGTCCGTGCACCCAGACATTGAGTCCTTGCACCCGGACATCGAGCCCACGCACACCGTGCAGGGAGGAGTGCCTTGCTTCACACTGCAAAGCTGCCCGCACAGGCTCACTTACCGATGCCCCTGCCCCCGGGCTGCCTTGCCCACCTCTCGCCTCCCCGAGCTCCGTGTTTTGTCAGCTGAATTCTGAGCCTCTGGCTGGGATCAAGCCAAGTGTTGGTTAAACTTACAACGTGCTCTCCTTTGGGAGGCCATTTCTGTCTGTGCCTTGCAGGGGAAATACTTCTCTGCCTCACATTGCCTTTTAATTCCATTTCTTGTTCCTGACTTCCTCAAAATTCTGTCTTGCTAAATCCTTGCAACAGATATTTTAAACAGATGATGATGATGATGATGATGATACTTTGTGGTTTATCTGTCTTGCTCATCCCCAGAGCTGCGTAGCTATCCTTTTCCCAGATTTCCAGTGCATTAAATTATGTCATACTGAGTTGCAGGCTAGTTTACAGGAAGTTTTAGAAAGAGTAGGGGCCTGAGATCTACAGCCCCCCTAAGCCCCGCTGGCTGGGAAATAGATGATTATTTTTCCTCTGCATGCACCAATCTGCAGCCTGAATGGCCCAAGTCATTCAGAAACAGTCACATCTCCCACCTCCTGACTTGACTCCCTGCAAAGTCAACAGGATGCGGGTGGAAAACCTCCCTGGTCCCAGTGAATTGCACCAACAGGCTGGCACGAGGCTGAGCCAGGCTTGCCYGGGGCCTCAAGGTTACGTGACTGCAGAAAGTGACTCAAATATTAGATAAGAAGATAAATGGTTCTCTGGAACAATACATCATCACCATTTCATTAGTATGGGTAGATGAGTATTTGAACTTCAATGCTACCTTTGTTCTCTTAAATAATCTTTTTTTGGGGGGGGAATCTGAAAAAACTTCTGGTTCTTAAAAGAGCCAACACTGAGGCTTAAGTGTTTCAGTACTATTGCATTGAAGGTGCRAACTGCAGAGTTTAGATGTCGGTTAGGATGAGACTGGGACCCGCGTAAGATTAAATTTCAGACTTACTAGTTGTAGCTTAACTCATTCCGAGAGAAGTTTGGCATCTTCACAGTTATCTGCCTCTGCCCTTTGGGTCTGGAGGAAGTCCATAAAAGAGGAAATAAAGAAATCACACCCAAACTGTGGACATCCACATTATTCCTGATAAACTACACAATATGGCTCTGTACATGTAAGGAAAGTTTGAAATCTTAATTGATCGCCTYACCCCATACAGCTGCTTAAAGAAGGCTTTGCAGAAACAAAGGTGAACAGTGCATGTGAAAAAAAGAGAGAAATGAGGGTTCCTGACAACATCTATAATATAAATTTAAGATGCAATACTGCGAAACCCAACCAAACTGAATCAAAATGATCAGGAGGTCCCTCAGTCAGTTATTTTGGATCTTTTTCCTGGTATGTTGAAGACGAGTCACCCAGGGCATCCTTAGGATGAAAATATGACCCCTAGGTGCACAAATGTTAGACCTGTAATCAGGAAGGAAGAATTCTTCAGGCTTGGCAGGCTGAAACCTGCCTGCTCTTTTGTGCAATTAGTAACCTCCTGTTTTCCCTCTGATTTTGTGGGTGTATCTTTAAAGTCCAACCTTCAAATTATCTTTGCAAATGCATTGGTAAGATTGCAAATCCATCCTGTCCTGACAATTCACCCCCAAAAGTGCGAACCGCTGCTTTTGTTCTTGCCTGCCCTGAGTCTTTTCTGTCCTGCCTGCACAACCCGAGTTTCGGCGCATGCTGTAAGTATTTGTGCCAAGTATWTTGGAGCATTTTTTGAAGCCTTACGGGGTGCCTTTCCTCCCCAGTTATGATGACACAAAATGAATGGAATAATCACAAGACCTGCCTTTTATTTCTTAGTTGCCATTGTTAATTCGAGGCTATGTTAATGGCATTTAATCGTAGGCTTTCCATTTAATCATAGACTTTTGTTTCCAGAAAGCCCAAGAGAAATCTTACCTTTACTTTGGCWGAGAAGGCTTTGCACCTTCAAATGGATGCAGTGTGTGTTTGGTGGTTCGCCTCTGTTGGCAAGAAGCTGCAGTCAGCGACTGTGTAGGACAGCAGTTGTATTAGGCGGAMCATAAGCCGCACTAAATCTCAGTGTAAGCTGCACTTGGCTTTCATTAAGCCACAAATGTTTGTCTGGGTCACTTGCATTCTTTGCTCTTTCTAGTAACTCTGTCTTTCCGAGCCAGCCGGTCTTGCCTTGCCAGGTCTGTCTTTTGTAATTGCAGCTACTTGAAATAATTATAGTCCCTCGGTCCATAAACTGGATCAAGAGGACAGCAGGGCCTCTAGCACAGGTGACCGTGACACAGTTGGCAGTGGCACTGAATTCCTTTCTGGGGTGCATAAGCTGTAACACATCGTGGCGCGTTGCTGCTCCGGGCCAGCCCCGTGGCCAGCCGTGCGGGCGAGCGGGAASCGCGGCTGCATGGGTGTGTGGGGGGGACTGCTGGCTGCATGGGTGCAAGTGAGGGGCTCCTCTCACCGCCTTCCCCTCGCACTGGTTACGGGGCTTGTCTTGGCTCTGACAAACACACCCCCATCCCCTTCCATTATTCTTGGATTTTGTTACAGAGTTTGGTTAATGAAAGTGAAAAAGGAAAGGGTGAGAGGAGATGCAAGGAAAAGAAACGCAGGAGATGCAAGGAAAAGAAACGCAGGAGATGCAAGGAAAAGAAACGCAGGAGAAACCGGCTCCTGGCACAGCTCTGGCCAGACTGGGAGCAGAGAGAAAAAGTCACTGTCCAAATTTTGCGTGGACGCAGAAGACAGGCACTTGTTCTGCCTTCTTGCATTTTGACCAAGTGCTGCACCCAATATATTGTAATTTATTGAAATCTTTTCTCTCTTTGCAATAAGCATTTCCTAGTGGGAATTATAAAATATTTTTAAATTATACAAAATCCTTTTTTTTTTCTGTGCCAAAACTGTGACTTTATGTAGTTTTTATTTATTGAGATGACTGAAAAGGTGGATTTCCGAAGCCTAATTGAGCGTCTCTGGCCCAGTGTCCATTTCACACTCGGCTTGGCGAGAACAGTGACGCGGGGCTGTGCCTACAGCTCCTTTTCCTGACGCTTTAGCTCCGTTTCATGCCCTGCCCGGCCCGGAGGGGACCTGGCGGGGAGGGCGGCTCTGCAGGAGAGCTCACCGAAACACACGGCAGTTCTGGCACTTTTCTCTCTCTCTTTCTGCACTTTCCTTCTTGCTTAAGAAGCCCTCCAGTTTCCCCAACGGCCCGTTCCCTGGCTGCACGGTGCAGCAGGCGCGGYGCGAGCCGCGGCTCTGAG